CTCTTCCGTCCCAAATTATCAAGAGTAGTTTAGGACCTTTCATCTTATAATCTAAAAATTTTAACCCTTCAACTCTTCGTTACAAGGGAAAAGCACAGAACGACGCGTCTTTCTGGGTAGTGAAGGTAGGCATCTTGGCCGCTGAGAACAGGAAATCCATGCTCATTTTAATGTGGGCCTTACTTCTTTTGACCAAGGAACCTACCATGCTTCTTCATCAAATGCTTCCTTCGCAAGTTCTCTCGTTCAATAATTCACAAATATCATTTATCAACAATTATTTCTTCGTAACTTCCGTGCTTTCTGAGTCATTGTTGCTTTTTATCAAATTAAATTTATAATATTATAATATATATATTCTCTTAATGATATAAAAAATTATTAAAAAATAAATTACTTTCATCCCATTACTCTTTTCTCCATCATCATAATCGCAACTCACAAAGTTAATTTCTTTCTTCATGAAACATTTACTTTATTCACCTGAACAATAAACTAAACCAAAGAGTCCAACAAAGGGCCGGAACCAGGGTTGATTTGTTTGTAGGACCTGGTTCAATATTTCGACCAAATTGTTGTATTACCCCTTAAACACTATTACTATCTGTATTACCGCTTAACTAAGTGCTTCGACTGGTTCTATTGCGAAGGTAAAAGAATTGTAACAAACCCCATTAATTACACAGAAATCTTTAATCACAGAACTAATTTTTAGGGAATGAAAATGAGGTTTCCAACTTTGCAAACTTTAGATTAAAAAAACTGTGAAAAAACAAAGAATTTTTTTTTCTTGATTTTGAAATCGAAGAGAAGATTGAGAAACAAGCTTTAAGAAAAAGAAATATTTTGTAAATGGGACTGCTGCCTGTAAAGGATTATCTCTCTTTATGTTAATATTCTTTTAGATTACTCATGTTTTATAACGATTCTCTTTGATTCTTTTAATAATTAAGGTGTGTAAATATTTAAGAAGAACTGTGTGTTCTTGAAAGGAAAATTTAGGTTTTTTTTTTTTTTTTTTGGACACTTGGTGATTTCGCTTTAAGGGGCAAATATAATAAACATGGCCATTAGTGAATTTCAAAATTCGATTTTGTATAAATTATTTACTTCAAAAAACTTCATTAATTACCCTATATTTAGTGTAACTCATAATTTTAGAATGTTCAAAAAATTAAATTTCTAAAATACATTTTCTTTCTCTTACTTTTTCGTTTTCCTCCTATCATAGCAATTGATAGCAGGCTAAGAAAAATTTGCCAACAAATGCCAAGGAATTAAAATAGTGTGCAGATATAACAACCACTAAGAAATCAAATTACATCAACACAGGTAGTCTTAATAAGATGGATATAATTTTAGACTTAAAATAAAAATTATATACTATTTGAGAAATAATCCTCTCTATGCAAATTCTTAAGCATAAATTAAAAATAACAAATCTATATTTCAAAAAATTGTAC